CTCTTGTTGTGACATCTTGCTGGGTGGTGCATCCCCTGCTCAGGGACAGTCGTGCTGGCCCCAGCTCGTAACACACCTGTGTGCCAGCTGCCTTGGCTGCCCCCTGTGGCCCCTGTCCTGCTCCCTTGCTTGGAGGTGAGGAGGTTGGGGTGGCTGTGCCATCCGGATTGACGTTCACACACAGGTCGGTACCGTGCCCCGGACGTATCCTGAACACAGCAGTTCCCTGGGGTCTCCCTTGGACTCCAGGTGGCCCTCACCAGCCCTGTGTGGACAAGTGTAAGGGTCAGTGGGCCACAGACCTGGCACACAGAGGACAGGCTGAGCGACCTCACACCAGCCGTGCACGGGACAGGCCGGTTTCTTCCCGACAGGGATGGAGGTGGCCGTTGGATTTCATCTGTGAGTAATAAACTGGTTTTGTAACAGTTGGAGTAGTGCCTTTGTTCTATTAATATTTATTAGCAGGCACCGAGGTAGGAGTTTGCGTGTTATCTTTGCCGAATAAACATCAGATCTGCTCTGATCTGTGAAGACCCAAGGAGATCACAGCCTTAGAAGCAATTAATGCCCAGTGAGCAGTGGCTCAGGGTGTGGAGGGGGCCAGGAAGGCTCTGTCCCAGGAGTCCTGCTCATTGAGTGACCTGGGGCTGCAGCTGCCTGGGCCGCCTCCCAGCCTGGTTAGCTGTGGTCTCTAGGAACCATAAGCGATGCGGAACCAAAGCACTCATCCTGGACCAGATCCTGCTGTCCAAGCTGGACCATGTGGCTGCTGCCCACTGAGCCTTCTCTATATTTCTGTCCGTGTCCTAGCGGGAAGAGAGTCCTCCCCCATGCCTTACGACATCGGCCAAGGGGCCTGAGTGCGTGCCCACCACCCAGGACGCCGCAGTCAGGAAGCTGTGCTGCAGCCTGGGCGGTGGTGGTTCTTGTTTCCCCCTTGTTGGCACTGTCCCTACGCTGATGGGACTCGTAGATCCCCTCAGAGCTCCCTGACTGTTGCTCTCGGGTCCTCAGAAACGATGTGCTCCCATTTCTCAGATGAGGAAACAGCCCCAGCATGGGGGTGGTGATGGTTCTTGGCCACCTCCTCCCTGGGAAGCCTTCAGGTCCTGGCCTGGACAGAGACCAATGCCCAGGGCTGCTGGGCCCTGCCCTGCCTTTCTCAGTTTCCCACCCCCAGCATCTTGTAGATCCATGTGCGCTTGACCCTCAGGTCACCCATGACTTGGCCACCTCATCAGCTTGCTGGTGGCCTTCTTCCTGGCTGACCTGGTATCTGCTGGCAGCTGGTACCCTGTGCTGGACTGAATCCCTGGGAAGAGTCAGCCTCAGATGTGGGTTCCTGGGTATGGCATCCACAAGAGTGTCCTCCTCTTCCCCCAGGAGGGGACCCACCCACCCATCTCCAGCAGCACCTTCCTTCTTTTACACCATCTCCTCTCATAGCTGGCCAGGCTGGGAAGGGCCCTGAGATTTGCCTCATGGGCATGGCCCTATGGAAATGTCTTTCACTTTCTAGGCCTCAGTTTCCCCATCTATACAGCAGGAGTCAGGGCTATGTGGAATGGTTTCCACATAGCCCTGTGTGGTTCATTAGGTCGGAAGGTGCAGGCTACTTGTTTGATCTTTCCAGCAGGAAAATTGGGTTCCCTTTGCAAGTGGATGAAGCTGCCTTGTTGGAAGTCAGGCAGCCTGTGAACTGCAGGCCCATGGCCTCTGAGCTGAGTCCACCCTGGGACCAGGCCTTTCACTCACCAACCTTTGAGGGACACTTTCCAAAGCCTGTGTGCCCTATTCAGGCCAGGGGCACCTTCCTGGGCACACACCTGCTGCCAGCTGTCTGCAGCATTTCCCTGGCTGCCAGTGGAACTCAGCAAATGCAGGAAAATTTGAAGATATCTTTGACTTTTATGGCCCTTTTCCCCCTATTAAAATGCTTAGAGCTGTAAACGTAGTCATCTGGATCTCATTTATCCTGACAGAAGTGTGGCTATAAAATATCCGGTGCTCATGAAATAGCCTCTGAGATGATTGTTTCTGCTGTATCGATAAATTCCAGCGTGGAACAGAAAGGTCAGCCCTTGCCAAATAAAATGTCTTTTCTGCTTGTTAATGAGAGGTTTATAAGGATGTGGAAGAACACACTTGGGGGCCTGTCTCTGAGCAAGAGAAGCAGAGTGGGGAGCATACCAGGGTGTTCTGGGAGGAAACCGTCACCCTCAGACGCAAGACTAAAGGAGGCGCTTTGATCTGCACCTCTGTGTAAGCAGAGACTGTGGTGCCTCAGGCCATAGGCCTGGTGGGTGCAAACCCCTCCTTCCCTAGGGCCTGGCTAGGGGGATCCTGTGCTCGAAGGTGCCCCATCTTGATGCCCTTTTGCAGCTGACTACGTTTGTCTCCCGTGGCATGGCACAGCTGTGATCCATACAGCTGCTGGGCACACGGTTGTCCCCGCTGTGGTAAGCATTCATTTCCAGAGCTCTGTGTGACCACGTGCTCCCATGCCTCTTGAGAGGCCCAGGGATGGAACTGGCCTGATCATATGCCAAACAATTGCACTTTCTTAATAATGCTCAGTGGGCTGGGGATGTAGCTCAGCTGCATAGCACCTGCCTGGCGAGCACGAGGTCCTGAGATCGATCCCCAGTACCAAAAAAAAAAATGCTGTGTATCTTCATCTGCTTATTTGCCATTTGTATATCTTTCATAGTGAAGTAGCTATTCAGATCGACTCTTTTTAAAACAGGTTGTTGCATTTCTAGAGTTCTTTCTTTGCTCTGGTCAGGTGATTTGTGTGTGATCATTCTCCAGTGTGTGGCTTGGATTTACATTTTCCTAATGCTGTTTTCTCACCTTCAGGAGAAAATTTTGTTGAAGTTTACTTATTCGTGAAAGTATTAAATTTTGTTGAAGTTCATTTATTTGTTCCTATTTAAAGTCTACTTTTGTTATTGTGTCTAAGCCACGTCCAAAAATTTCTCTTACATTTTCATCTAGAAATGTTTTCGCTTTAGTCTTTACATTTAAGTCTCTAGTTAGTTTTGTTTTGTTATTTTTTAAAATATGGTTGGTGGTGTGGATTGAAATGCTGTTTTGCTTATAATATATGGATATCTCCTTGTTCTAACACCATTTGGGAAGAGACTGCCCTTTCCCCACAAAATTGTCTTTTTAGCCCTTGAATAAAATTAATTGACTGTGTGAGTCTAGTTTGGACTCTGTTGGTCCAGGGATGTATTTGTGCATGTTAACACCAAATCCACGCCATCTTGACTACTGTAGAGTCACAGTAGGTCCCAGAGTCAGGTAGTGACTTTTGGTTATTGTTTGTATTTGTTTCAGAGTTCTTTTGGTTATTCTAGGTCCCTTATAATTCAATATGTAGGCCTGCTGAGATTTTGATTGAGGTTGGGTCAAATCTATAGATCCACTTGGGGAGAATTGACATCTTCATGTTGAGCCTTCTACTCCATGGTTATGGTATATCTTTCCATACTTGGGTCTTTTTCTTTTTCTCTCAACAGTATTTGGAAGTTTTCAATGTATAGGTCTTATACAGCTACGGTTCAGATTTATTCCTAAATATTTCTTATTGTTATTTTTCAATGCCATTGTAAATGGGATTTAGACATTTTTAAATTGCTGAATGTTCATGGCCAGTATCATATTTTATTCTAATATCCAGCAACCTTGTTAAATTCATGTATTGGTTTTAGCTTTTTTTTTTTTTTTTCCACCTACTGTGATAAGTATGTGATTTTTCTCCTTCAAAATACTCTTACAATAAATTGCACTGACTGACTTCTGAGTGATGAAGCAGCCTTGTATGCATGGGCTGTTGGTTTGCTAACATTTCTGTTAAGAATGTTTGCATCTGAGTTTCAGAGAGAATCTTGCTGGTCACTGGCCCTGGGTGAGAGATACCTCTCCGCCATATGCCCCAGGGTTGTAGGGTACAGACCTGGTCCTGTAGAACTGCTTCTCCATCGGGGCTGTGAATAATGGTGCCTCCCACAGAAGGAGACTTCAGACAAGTGAGGACCCCAAGCACATCTCTCTTTCTGTGGGCCTGGAGTCCTGGGGGTGTCAGCTCTTACCTCCCCACCCCAGTGTCCACCCTGCAGCTGTTGTGATCATCCCATCATGCACTAGGATGTCCTCCATGAGTGATGCTGGGAGCTGAGGGACACATAGGTCACACTCAGGGCAAGTCTCCACCAGGAGGCCAGTGGGGGTAAGTGTCAAGGCCTGAAAAGCACTCCCACATTTTGACTCATAAATCCCTGTTTTTGAACTCTCTCCCAGGGAAATATCCTGAGATATGGCACTGGCTTTATCCATAGAGATGTTGATTGCACCATTGTTTATTAACTGGAAAAGAATGGGCTAAAAATTCACTCTCTATAGCAGAGAGAATGTGTGTGTGTGTGTGTGTGAGAGAGAGAGATGAGCTAGGAAATACCATCGTGCCTGCTGAATTGAAGAATCCTCATCTATCAACAGGCGATTGATGAAGTTTATTGTGACACTGGAAAATCTCACAGGTTCCTAAGTAAAAGTAGGAGAAAGGGTTACAGAACTCCATCTCACTGCATAAGAACTTACCAGAGAAAGCTAGTGTGATGGTTTTCTGGGTAATACCATTCTTTCTTTTTCTCCAAAATTTCTTGGAGGAAGATAGATTACTTTGTGATTTATAAAAAGACGGTAAGAACAGGAAGACTAAACTGGGCATGGTAGCGCATGTCTGTAACCCTAGCACAGGGAGGCTGAGACAGGAGGATGACAAGAAGAGGCAATTTAGAAACTTCATGAAGCCCTCTCTCAAAAAGTAAACAGGCTAGGGATGTAACTCAGTGTGAAGGCCCTGGGTTTAATCCCCACTACTGCAAAAAAGAAAGAAAAGGAACAGAAAAAGGGTAGGCTTTGCCATCTCCCAGACAGACTGAGTCCACCTTGGCTCTATGTGTGGGCTCAGTTCACCTCTCTGTTTGCAGGCTTTGGGAAGCATCACTTCAGTGCCTGTCACGGGTCCTCAGGTCAGCTCCTTGCAGAGGTTGGCTGGGCAAGGAGCGGCCGTGCTACCTCAGGTAAGCGATACTGGGGGGCCCCAGGGTGTCATCGGCTGTGCCCATGGTCTCAATCCCTGAGCTGGATCCCTCCCCCAGGCAGCGCCTCCCTCTCTAGCTTCTTGTGCCGTTCGTCAGAGGACACCTTTGGACAGGTTTTACACAGGGAGGAACCCGGGTTTTCAAACAGTAAGAAATTGCCAGGTCAGTTCAGTGGCCGGGGCAGAATTTCTTTTTGAATGGAATAAGCGAGTCTGGACTGGATGGAAGAGCAGGTGGCTGGGTGCATTGCAAGCACCGTTTCGTGAACACCAGGTTTCTGTCCTGGGGCAAAGCACTGGGTCTATTTTTGACTCTGGATCACAGTCCACAGTGTTGAAGGAACTCTAGATGAGGTAACTCATTTCAGAAGGCAGCACAGAGGTGGGGCCAGGTGCCTGGGTTCTGAGCCAGGCTTCCCCATGGACTCCATGCCTGGACAGGTCGCCCAGCTCCCAACCTCCTGGGCTGGAAGCTCCTCTTTCACAGGGGCTGATTCTGGTGCCTGTGTTGTCCCTCAATCTTGAGGCTGGCACAGAGCCACCAGGACCCAGGTCTGGCTCTGTGCCAGGCACTAGGCAGAGCTTACAGGTGTGGTGCCGGCTGCCCAAAGGCATGCCACACTGAAGTGACCTGCCCAAGGCTTAGGGCCCTGCAGAGCTGGCCAGACCCCTCCCTCCCACTGCATGTCATTAGGGACAGGACAAAGGGATGTGGGGGTCAGCAGTGCTCTGTGGCCATCACACACGCCAAGCCTAGGCCGAGTCTCTGTGCCTCAGTGTGCGCTTCTGGGGCAGGGGCAGGACCACACCCACAGTGTGGCTGTGGTGGGTGCCAGCTTCCTTGTCATCATCTCTGAGGAGGTAGTACTCGCGTGGACCTCTGGCTCGGGGTGACCTCCCTTGTGGGTCTAGGTGTGTGCTGAGGTCTACTGCTGCAGTGGTTATAACGACAGGACACTGGTGACAGCTGGCATTTGCTGGGCATTTGCTCACCCACCCACCCCCAACCACACTGGTGGCCTGTCACCCTGGTGTACAGGTGAGGGACCTGGGCCCAGGGAACCTGACCGGAGCCCTGGCCTGGCCCGGCCCGTGCTGGCTTTTGCACAGGTCCCCTCTCCTGGGCGTGGACTCTGTGGCCTGCACAGGCACAGCCCAGCCCCGTCTCCACCCGGTGAAGAAGCAGAGCCCCTGTGTCTGCAGGCCCTGCTCGACTCCAGCTGTACAGGGCTTTGTGCTTGGGGACTTACTGTGCTCTGCTGTCCCTGCATCTCGTCCTGGGCCACCTCCCATCTCCTTCCCCTTACCACCCTGTGCCCTGTGGCAGTCAGTGCATGCCCCGGCAGGAATCCTCAGGGTCCAGGGCTTGCCTGCTGGGAGACTCGGGTCCCCTGGCCGTTCTAAGGCCCTCTCCGCACCTCTGACTTGGACACCTCTGAGGGGGTCTGCCGTGCCTCCCGGCCTGCCTGGGCCTCTGACGGTACACCTGTCCCTCTCCCCAGGTTAGGCCAAAGACTCTGATCCCAGACAGCCTCCCCGTTGCCCCAGGCAGGGACCGGCCACCCAAGCAGCCCCCGACGTTCCAGAAGGGCACTGTGGTCAGCATCAAGAACCCTAGCCCAGCCCTTCCCACCGCCAACAACACTGTCAACCATGTGCCGACACCCGGCAGCCAGCCCCAGGCCCTTGCTGAGCCCGCCGCCATCACCTCGCCCCTGAGCAGCGCGGGGGTGGCCTACGCCATCATCTCCGCCTCCCCCAGCAATGCCGCCGTGCCCGTGGTCAGTGACAGCATCAAAGTGCAGCCCCTCCTCATCAGTGCGGACAGCAAGGTGAGTGCAGCCCCGGGCACGGGTAAGGGAGGCTGTCCTGCAGGAGACAGGTGAGGAGGCCCAGGTGGGCTTGGGAATGAAGGGGTTGAGCAGGGGTGGATGAATGGAGTGTGATGTTCAAGGGCATGACAGACAACCGGAAGTGAACAAATGAACAGGATAAATGCGTGATGGCAGAGCGGCAGTGGGTGGAATGAGTGAGCCAGCGGTCCCCTGTACAGATCGGCCTCTGGGTGAGTAAACCAGTTAACACCAGTGCAGCAAGAGTGGCCGGTAGCTGAGTTGGTCACTGTGCCCGTGGGGTGATTAGTGACAGAGTGGGCAGCTGTGGGGACCCAGTACCTCATCCATTTCTACTGGTGGCTCACGTAGTCTGGGGCTGTTTCACAGCCCAGGTGCCTGGATGGAAAATCCCTGACTTCTTTCTTGCCAAGGTCTAAAACGGAGCTAAGATCTTCTCTCTCCCTGTCCCCTTGGGCTCCTTTCCAGGCCTTTGGGTTCTGTGGCTGCTGCTGCTTCCCTTCTGTGGCCTGTTTCCCTAGCCTGGATGTTGGTGCTCCACATCCACCCTCCTCCCAGTTGTCAGTACCCAGAAGGATTCTCAAAGCTCGGAGGGTCATCCTGGGTCAGGATCCGATGGCAGGGGACCAGGACGGTGCCTGACAGGATGGGGTGCACCCGGGTGTATCTTTGTTGCTGTGGCCCTGGACTCGTTTTGTAGGTGTGGACAGGCTGCCACACATGCTGGGAATCTTTCCCTCCGCTGTACCCATCCTGACTCTGTGACCGGCTCTGGGAGTTTTTGTTGAAGAGCTTAATGTTTTTCTTCCCCGGGAACATTAAAAAAGAGCATCTTGTTTTTCTCTACAGAGAATTTGATGTTTTGAAAAAATGTGATGCAAAGAATGAAGCTGATCCATTAAGCCAGCAGAAAAACAACACATTTTCCTCTTCCGGCTTAGAAGCCTGCAATTCCTAAAACAGTCTGCATGTGTTCTGAGGGAACTAAAACCCAAAACAATTCAGGTTGTTCCTGGCTTGGATCAGGTCCTAGCTGGCTGCTCTTAGCGAATTGCTCTTCCCTGGGTGCATGAAAAATACCAATTCTTTCCCAATGTCTTGTCCAGAGTAAAGACATAGTGAGGGTGCAGGAGAAGGAGCAGCCAGGGAGAGGTGGCTTTGTCACTTCAGGCATCCCCACTCAGGGCAAGGTTAGGAGCTGGAGCTCTGTCAACCCCGGCCTGGTGGGAGTGACCCAGCCCTGCTGCCTCTTGACCTGATGGTCTCAGGCAAGGAATACACTGAGCCCCTTTACCTCAGTTTATCTGCATTTGGGCTGGGGATAAAGAGACCTGCCCGGTGCAGGCATTGCCATGGTTTAAAAAGAAACAAAGCTGAGGTTCAGGGAGGCAGGATGACCTCTCTGAGGCCACACACTTGGGAAACAGGGCAGGATTTGAACCCACCAGTCTCATGCAAACCCTCACACAGCCGGGAGAGCTGTTGGGAGGTGCAGGCTCTGATCAGAGCAGGTGTACCGGCTCTGTGCTGCACCTTCTGGGATGTGCCTGGGCCCTCCTCACGCCTCTGCCACCTCCCTCAGGTCATCATTATCCAGCCTCAAGTCCAGACACAGCCCGAGAGCTCAGCGGAGCCCCGGCCGTCCACAGAGGAGCCATCTCAGGGAGCTCAGGCCACCAAAAAGAAGAAGGAAGACCGAGCTCTGAGCCAGGAGAACCCCGAGGTAGGGTGCCCCCTGTCGAGGGTCCAGGCTCTGGGTCGGGCACAGTGCAGGGTACATGGCTGGGCTGTGGAATGGTCTTGATGGCCCTGGCCCAGGTGCCATGCGGAAGGAGCTGCCATCCGGGACCACCCCCCCAGTGAGCCAGGTCTCAGCCATCCATCCCAGGGATGAGGAGGTGTGTGGCAATGTAGGGCAGTGGTCAGTGCAATTCCCAGCACCATTTTGCCTGTCCCAGTGCCACCAGTGTCCAGCTGTGGGACTGGGCCAGTCACCTGTTTCCTCATCTGTGAGTGGAGCAGCAAGGCCTCCTTTGTTAGGGATCTTTAGTGTCAGTGAAGCCCCAGATCAGGGGAGTGGACCCTCTTCCAAGGAACTGTGGCTGTGGTCCCCATCCTCAGGACCCCCAGCCCAGGGGGACAATGCTGCCTTGGCACATGTAGCCCTGCCTGTCCTCTGCTGTGGCCAGAGCAGGACCCTGGGTGCCTCAGAAGTCAGCACCCACCTCAGGCTGGTCTCCTGAGGGACCCAAAGACTCTTCCAGAAATCACACACAGCACCACCTCCCCAGTGTCCCCAAAGGAGGCGGGACAGCGGGCTTGTAGGGAGCCATGGTGACACCTGCCAATGGCCCCTGCAGTTGGATGCAGCAGCAGTCTGGGGCTTGGCCACGGCAGGTGGCTGTCCTGGTGCTGTGGCCGATGTCCTCTGCCCTCCCAGGCTCAGGCAGCCTGCTCCCCCTCCAGACCTCTCTGGCCTCGGTTCCTCCTCGCCATCCTCCACCCTTCTGCACACCTTCCCCACCTGCTGATTCTGTCCTGGTGCATGTGTGTCTTCCTGCCTGCCTCCCGTGAGATGGGCGGATGTGGTCCTCACCCTAGGAAGTTCACTTCAGTAGGTGGCAGGTGTGGCCACAAGGGACTCCAGCATGGGCTGGATGCATCTGGTGTAGTCAGAGCTGCTGGAGATGAGAGACAGGCTTCCTCCCAGAAGGGCCTGGAAGGTGCAGATGGGGACACAGTCAGCAGAGACCAGGGAACAGCACAGGAGGGTTGGAATGTCAGGGAGCGTACCATAACAGCCTCATGCAGTGGTGGGAAGGGCTCTGCCCACCCTGGGGAGTCCCATGGCCTGTCAGACCACACTGGGGAATGTACACAGGAACATCTAGGCCTGGCATTAAGACAAGCCTGAGTTTGGAAGATCTGGACACAGGTGGCCAGGATGGGACCTTATTTCTTAGGTGATGGGGAGCCATGGAATGTCATGAGCAGGAGCATGGCTTGGAGACCATCCTTCGCCATGTGCACATGGCCAACAAGGTCGACTGCTGATGAGGCCGAGGTGCGAACTGTCTCCTCTGTGGCCCCAGCTCCACTCCTCTCAGGAAAGATGATCAGTTCCATCCTTCGGGCAAAGCCTGAGCACCTGCTGTGTGCACAGGGAAGCCATGGGCTGGCTCATTGCACCCTGCTGGCCCCTCGAGGTTTTGCTGCACCCTCGACTTTCTGAGGGTCCTCGGGTGGATTCTCTTTGTGCTCTCAGAGTGTATCTTAGCCAATTATTGTGCATTTTTACAATTAGTATAATTGCATCCAACTGTATAATTAGCATAAATACAGTAATGACTTCAATAGAACTTGTAGTTACAACCTGAGGAGAGTGGTGTGCACAGACCTGCCCAGTGCCAACCCCATTAGAGAAGCATCTTCTTGACCTTGAACCTGAGCAGCAGTGCCTAGAAACTTCAGTGGATGAGCCAGGTGGGAGCCCAGGGTCACTGGGGAGACATTGGTTTTTGTAAAGAAATGAAAATTGCAAGTAGACAGGCTTCTGGCATGGGAAGCCAGGGTTGCCCAGAGTTGCCTAGATGGTGCTGAAATGGCACAAGAAGTGAGGCGGCTAGAGATGCGCTGGGTTTGCCAGTGCCCCAGGGTCGTACCTGGGCTCCAGGCAGGATGTTTCTGCAGCCCAGCATGGCTAGCACCTAGCTGGTCTGTGCCACTGGGAGGTGCTGTGTGAGTCAGCTGCAGCCCTCACAGTAACTGTACGCCTGCAGCTGTTGCTGGCCTGTTGCTTAGAAGGGTCACAGGGAAGAGGGGAAGCAGGAGAGGGGCCCAGTGATCCCCAGAAGTACATGTATTCCTCTGCACCAGGCTACACTGGGAGGTGTTTGCTTGTGCTGCAGCAGCCATCAGTCATAGACCAGTGACGGATGACACTGCCCTGCAGGTCAAAGAGACTCTGCCCCTACCATGACCACCCTGTCTCAGCAGCCCCCTCAGGCCAGACTGGGTCAATCCATTTGCCGTTTCCTCTTCTCTTGCACCATGAGCTCTAAAAAAGCCTCTTCCGGGTGGCCTTTTCCCGCCTGTTCACATGGTGTTCACTGAGCTGGTGACACCCAAAACCACCAGCCCTGCCAACAGCTGGCAACTGGAGATGGCTGGCAGCTGGAGAGCATCAGAGAGCCCTGAGAACAGCCAGGAGCCAGGTAGCTCAGAGCTACTGCCTCTGAGCGGCAGGAGGGCAACTGCACCAAAAGAGTTGATGGGTGCTGGCCTTCACAGCCCAGGGCAGTTAGCATTAGAGGAGCTATGCTCTGCCAGGTCAGAATTTCTGTCCCAGGTGAGCAAGAACTCTCAGCTGTTGGTAACACCTTGGAAGCCTCCCCAGGGACCTCCACTTTTAGGACCCTGGAAAAGAGGACAGACAGCGATGACATTTGTCAGCAGTTTCAAGAATCAGCCCATGTCTGATTCCTGTTTTACGTGTGGCTAAGAATTCATGATAGCTGATGATAGAAGTTGGGCCCATCAGAGTTGAGCACTGCAGCCAGGCGGTCTGACCCAGAGCCTGCTGCCCCCACCTGCAGCCTTCAGTCTGGAGAAGTCACCTCTGACCATGTGGAGTGGGGCTCAGGATGGTCCTGACCATGCTTCGTGAGAACCCTGGTTCTGAGTTTCCACTCGCTGCTCCCAGCCCTTCCTCCACAGGAAGATTGGGGGTGTATAAGGTGGAGTCTCCATTTCTTGCCTGCCCAGGGGGCTGGAAGGCTGGCCTCTTCCGCCTTCCTGGAGCTGAAAGATAAGGAAGCCATCACAGGAAGTGCCCAGCCTGGGCCCAGATGCAGTAGAAGAGTCTGCTCACAGATGCATAGAGTCCCTGCCCTGTCCATTTAGCCATGGGGCCGGAAAGTGATTCACGAATCAGGTGAGGGCACGAAGCCTGGACTGACCGCTCTTCTTGGCCTAGATGTTAGACCCCAACCCGGTTTCCAGAACTCGGGTCATCCCAGCTCACACACCTTACAGGACTGACTCTTACCATCTCCACTTTTCATAACATGCTGACCCTTCCCTTTAGGAAGATGATTGTAGAAAAATGAATTGAAATAAAGACTTTAACCTGTCTTAAAAGGACACTGGGGACCACGGGAAAGCGGTCTGCACCGAGACACACCAGGAACATTCCTGGCTTCTCATAGACGTGGGAAACGCTGCCTTCCAGGCGGAGGAGCATGTCTCTTTAGAGGGGAAGCAGGGAGGCTGGCTTCTGGGATTTCCACAACAAGATTGGTTCCAGAATGCGGAGGGGAGCATCTATAGGATGCTAAAGGACAGGAGCAGGAGCCAGGATGCGGCCCCAGGCCAAGGTACCCTTGGGCTCACCCACATCTTCAGCAGAGGGTGACCCGGGAAGGCCTCACCTGGGGCTGAGGGCTGGGGCTGAGGGATGTCGGATGGAAGGGCCACACTGTGAGCTCCACATGCAGTTTGTTGGCCCTGTGTGAAGTCAGAACAGGTCAAACTACGTCTTGTCACATTTAGATCTGTGCAGGTGGGTGACAGGAGTGTGTGCCTGGACATGAAGAGTCGAGAAACCACGAATTACAAAACCCACAAGAAGGGTCGCTGGAAGGAAGCAAAGGGAGCAGGATGAGGGGAGGGCACCAGAGGGATGCAGCTCGCTGTCGGGTTTGGGGGTTTGCAGTTATTGTGGGTTCATAGGTGTTTGATTTCAAATTAAATAAATAAATGATGATTAAGAGCAGTGACGGGCTCGGCGGCGTAAGCTGTGTGTCTTTAAGCGTACCTGAGACGTGCTTTCCCAGCCTTTCGGGGGAGCCCTCCCCTCCTCTGAGGGGCCCCTCTAACTGGCCCGTGGATGGCCTCTGGGAATCTGGTTCCCCAGCACTTTCTTGGCCTCTGGAGCAGTGGCATGGAGGCCAGGGCACCTGGAGCCCTAGCCCTGCAGCCACCTTAGGCAGATGCCCTGTGCGAGTCAGGCGACAGTCAAAGGCCTCACTAACTCCACCTCTTCCTTTCTGCAGAAAATCGCCTTCATGGTAGCGCTCGGCCTGGTCACCACGGAGCACCTGGAAGGTAAGGAGTGGGCACTGGGCTCAGACAGAAGCAGCTGGTTGTGGGAGATCCAGGTCAGGGGATGAGGGGTGGCCCTCCTTCCGGGAGCCGTGCACCAAGCACTGCAGTGGGGCAGCTGTTCCCAGCGACAAGTGGGACCGAGAGGCCCTCCAGCTCTCTGTGCTCTGGGGCTGCATGGACCCCACTGTGCACTGTCTTCTTTCCACGAAGGGAACTCATGGGTCCCTGTCCTTACTCTGGAGGCAGTGCAGTGAAGCGACAGGAAGTGACTGGCCAGTCCAGTTCTGCCATTTACTAACCATGCGAGCAGACGTTTCCGTGCATCCCTGTGCCTTGGTTTGCTGACCTGTAGAATGGGATTGTGGAGCCGTCCCCTTGATGTTAAGCACCAGGAACCCTGCACTCCTCCCGGCTGGGCACCATGTGGCAAGTTAGTGAGTGTACCTAGTCTGTGGACCTCAGTTCATGCCACACATGCCAGTAGGCGTGGAAATGTTACTTTGTTTGAACAGACAGGCCGGTGTGACCCTGGAGGTGGTGTTTGACTTACTAGTGACTCCAGGCAGGAAGTACAGGCCCCAGCTCACGTGTGGGGAAGGAAGCTGAGGCCAGAGAGGTTGATTGACCTGCCCAAGGTGACACAGCCATTTGATATCAGGCTGAGGCTGGAATTCAGGTCTCCTGACTCCTAGCCTAGAGTGTTTCCCACCACACCACTTGGCCTGCTAAAGACATTTCATGAAATGAAAATGCCCAGGTGTATCTGGGTGCCAGAAGGCAGACTGGTTTGTATTTTCTCCTTAAAATCCAGAACAGAGCTGGGCATGGTGGCGCATGCCTGTCATCCCAGCACTCTGGGAAGATGAGCCAAGAGGATTGCAAGTTAAAGCCACCCCTGAGCAACTTGGCATGACCATGGCTCAAAATAAAAGAGGAAATGGGCCAGGGATGTAGCTCAGTGTGAAGGCACTGGGTTCAATCCTCAATAGCATAAAAAATAAATAAAAATGCCTGGGATTTAGCTCAGTGGTTCTGGTGCCTCACAAGCGTAAGGTCCCGAGTTCGATCTCCGGTACCTAAATAAATAATAAATAAATAAAAGTGGGACAGGAAGGTTTGAACAGAGAGCTCGCTGTACCCAGCAAGCCTGCTACCTTCAGCCTAAGGTCAAGTTGGAAACGTGTGGGGAGGCAGGGGACCCAGCCAAGGCTACAGCACCCACAGGGCCCTGCAGGGATCAGAGCAAGCCCTCCCAAGCTCAGCTGAGGCCAGCATGCTTCCATGAGCCTCTAAGGGAAGAGCCTGTGCCGACCCCGGTGCCCCTGCTCCCTGGCAGCTGCTGGACTGTGTGGGTGGCTGGTGCAGTGGGAGGGCCCGTCTTCCAGATCCCAGCTCACTGACCTGGCCCCCATGGGGAGACCCTGTCCTGGTTGCCCTGAGTCACCTCTGTATGCTGGGTAGGAAGGCATGCTCTGAGCTTTCCTCTGTATGAGTCACATTCCCGCTGCTGGGATATAGTAACTGACATCCATAACTTGAAGGAGGAGAGGTTTAACTTGGCTCACAGTTTTAGGGGATTCAGTCCATGGTTGGCTGGCTCCAAGCCAGGAGCAGCATGGCGGAAGTGCAGGGTGGAGTAAAGTGGAGCAGGGGAACAGCACCAGAGAGAAAAGACCCAGGGACCAGATAGATATATGCAGTTCCCAAGGTCACACTCTATGACCCACTCAGACCCACCCAGGAGTGTGCTTCATTGATCCCCTGGGCAGCTCCTAAGCTGATCAAGATGACACAGTCACACATCCCCACCTGTCTGATGTTGTGAACTTGAGCCTAAGGTTCCTTCTGTCCTCAGCTTGTATTTGAAAACCATTCTGAAACTGACTTTGGAGCATGGAGAGCACATGGGGTGGTGGGGACCGAAGACCTGTGTCCAAGTCCTGGTCAGCATGACACTTAGCAGCTGGCTGACCTTGGGCAACTCCTTCTCCACTCTGAACCTCCGCTTTCTCATTTCCAGCAGAAGGAAAACTGCATCCTAGCGTTGCAGAGGAGGGAGAGACAAGTGCTTTCCTAATATGAGGGATTGTTTTATAATTAATCCTCCTTTTGAACCCGTTTCCCCACCCCCATGGTACCCTAAATGTTCATCTGGGCCCCATCTTCTCCCAAGGAGGCCTGTGGTGCCTCCCAGGAAGCACACAGCATAATGCCCAGAAAAGTTTGTAAAGGAGAAACACTGCAGGCGAGAAGGTAGAAGGCAGGCAGTCGCCCGCAGAGAGGGCTGCAGGTCCACCCAGCAGCAAGAGGGAAAGAGACTACAGTGTACTCAGTATGTGTTCCTAGGCTCGGGGGTGAGTATGCAGGCACCCATGGAGGCTGCTTGGGGTAGGGGCTCCTGAGTGCCCGGGAGACCACAGCTGGCCCACATGGCAGCCGGACCCTCACTCTGCAGCCAGGCAAGAGGGAGCCAGTAACCACCGTTTCTGTGCCTTCCAGAAATCCAGAGCAAGCGCCAGGAGCGGAAGAGGAGAAGCACCGCCAACCCCGCCTATAGTGGCCTCCTGGAGACCGAGGTGGGGACTGGGCCCAAGTGGCTGTGCCGTCTCAGGAGCTGAGTCCCTGTAGAAGCTGCCCTGGGCAGCGGTTGACTGGGGCCGGACAGAGTTGTGGGTGTACCTGTGGTGCACGTGGGATGGCTCCCTGCTTCCTGGGACCCCTGTGGGCCTCGTGTGCAGAGCCTGCCTGGCCACAGCTTAGAGGGGGTGAGGCCATGGGCAGTGGGGAACGGTTCTTTGTCCTACACTCTGACGTGGTGCATCCATCCTCCCTGGGGATGAAGGTGGGGAGCGGCTGTGGCCCAAGCTGCGACCCCTCTGAGCAGAGACCTGGCTGGGGCTAGGGACCCCAGGACTGTCTGGTGCCTGTGGCTGTGATCTCATAACTGCCCTGGTTTGTCCTGAGCCCGCTGTCCCCCTGTGTGTGCCTCCCAGGAAAGCCTGCATCTCCTTCTAGAGTGGCACCTCGGCTCCACCCGGCCCGGCCGCCTCTCCAGCCTTACCCCAGGGCCTCTGAAACAGGCCAAATAGGACATTTAACGTTGACTTACAGGCAGGAAGTGCCCTCCTCACCCAGATCCCATCCCGTACCCCATTATTGTGCTGTCCCTGACAGCCGGACGAGGTGGTACAGACGGGTGACCCCAGGTTCCGAGTTCACCTCAGCTCCTGCTCATTGGCACAACCCCAGGAAGCAGCTGAGCCCGAATGGAATCCTCTTGCCCTTTTGAATGAAATCCCAAATTCTTAAATTAGAATGCAAATGTCTCCCCACAAGCCAGCTGTGTGGAGTCTGAGCCGGAGGCTGCTGTCCTCAGGGAAATGGGTCCCAGGACCCAGGGCAGGAAGGGCTGGGGCACCCCAGGCTCAAGCTCCTGGGGAAGGTGGAGAAGCCGTCGGTCATGCACAACTGTGGGCCCGTCCCACCCTAGCCCCGGTCTGCGTCTCTAGAACTTGGGCCGGGAGGGAGGCTCTCGGGCATCAGGAGCCCCAGGAGGGAGCTGCCCCTAGGTCTGGGAAGGGGCCTTGTCACTGCGGAGGGATTCGGGACGACGAGTTGTTATTCTGTTTGTGCCCACAGAGGAAGCGGCTGGCCTCCAGCTATCTCAACAACCCCCTGTTCCTCACAGCCCGAGGTAAGCGGCAGCCTGGGCTGGGCTTCTGCAGAGCTGTTGGGGCCCGGTCAGGGCCATGAAAGGCCAGGCTCCTCATGGAGACCTGCGTTCTGCTCTGCTTGTCCCTCTGGATGCTGGGACACTGGGCTGAGTCCTCAGCGAGGGCCCCGGTGCTGGCAAGCAGGGCTGGCCTGTGGGCTCCCTGGGAGTTTTCAAAGGCCCCTCCGCCCTCTGCCAGCCTTGCTTGGATGGAGGACCACAAGGAGCCACACCCACGGGTACACAGCGGGGCGTTTGCTTGTTATTGTCAGAAAAATACACAAAAGTACAGATAGTTTGGATGCCTCCCTGGGCCTTGGTTTTCTGGACTCAAAAATGGACTGCACTTGCCTGTACCCCAGAGCCTGGCGTCCCTGAGTGAGCTTCACCACACTTAACAGCACGGTTCCTCTCCCTTGGACCTGAGAGGACAGCCATTGCTGTGGTGTTAAAGTGTGTGAATTGACACCACGTTCTGGAGTGAGGGTGGGTGGCAGCCAGAAGAGAACTGAAAAGCAGGCAGAGAGGTCCCTGGAGTGATGGCACCGGGTAGCTCACTGTCACCGCACTCCTCAGGGAGCTCAGGCATCGTGGGCCCAAGCCTGTGGTGGGTCCTGGCTGTGCCCAGCCCAGAGGTCCTTCATCCCATTCTGCCCTGGGTGAGAGCTCGTGAGGCTCCCATCATGCCTGAGTGGAAATTCAGTCTTCTCCTGGGCCTTGTGATGCTCCCATCATTCCCTGTGGAGAGGACCCTGCCACACCAGGTGTTCTGGACCCATGCTTGCCCTTTGTTCTTCCGTTGCCCACTAACCTGTTCTCGCCCTTCCTCCCTGTGCCAGCCAATGAGGACCCCTGCTGGAAGGTAGGTGCCCGGCTCACTCCTGGGGGAGGGAAGTGTTCTGGGCCATGCAGGGAGGTCACTCCTGGACTAGCCTGGCCTGGAGTAGTGCACGAGGCCTTCGGTGCCAAGAGCTTTGCACGTATTGGGCCTGCTTCCGTCTTGCCCGGAAGAGCCAGGCATCACCACAGGGAGCCCTCCCTGCCCAGTCCCCAGAAAGTCCCCATTGGAAGCAGCCAGCCTCACTGTGTGACCCTGGGCAGAGCTGGCCCCTCTAGGCCTCTCTTGCTCACCCCACAGGGCATGCTGGTCCCCAGGGTCTCATCCCATCTGCCCATGGATGTCTCTGTGATCCTGTGAGACCACCCACCTGTGCACACCTGTCCCTGCTCCCCTTGCCTGAGGCCGGTCATGGCCTGGTACCCAGGTGTTTCCTTTGTACTTACCGAGCATTCTTCATTCAGTTTCTGATCTCATTCCGGATGGATTTTCAGGGCCCTGCATGCTTGTACTGGTCAAGCCACTAAATAGGACAGGCAGTTGGTCCCAGCCCATTCAGGCAGTCTATGTTGTCTTCCACAGCAGCCCTGCCGTGGTGAGACTGCTGCTAGCGGGCCTGGTCACTGGTTCACAGCAACCTGGTGCCCTGCCCAGGTGACATAGGATGGGAGGGAGCTCCTGAGCTGGAACCCCACCCCCACAAGCCCACTGTCCCAGAGAGGTCTTGGCTTTGAAACAGGAGACCCGGATGCTGCTCTCAGCTGCACCTCTAGCTCACTCTGTAAGCCCAATGCCTCACCCTCCCGGGCTCTGGCTCTGAAATGAGGGCCTTATCTGAGGTGCTGTGCCCTCCTCCAGGGACATTTCGTGTCCAGTGCCCTATGGCACAGCCATCTCAGATGAAAGCCCTCTGGTATTGGAGGCTCTGTTTACACACAGCCTATAGAGGACGGGTCCTGTTGGTGGCAGGAAGTGTCAGATCTGTAGATCACAGGCTGCGTAGGGTTGTGAAGCCCCCATCAGAGTGGCTGTTGGTGCACAGCCGCCAGGAGGTGGCACCTCCTGGGAAGGTGTCCTCATCCCTACTGCAGGGCTGCACAGTAGCAAGGCGCTTCATGCGTGTCTCCCGTTCAGTCCTGCATTGACCATGGCAGGCATCCTCATCCACGTGATGAGGGTGGACCTGTGTATGACTCACAGGTGTCGGGCCCAGATAGAGGACAAGCTCTTGAGGGTCCCAGCAGCTTGTGCCAGGCCACAGCTCCTAGGATAGGACCTGCGCTTGGGCTGCTCCCTGCGACAAAGCGGAATGCTGTCTCCGTCCTCACCTGGAGCCAGGTCTTGCCATGGAGAATCGGGACACTGGGGCCACACCATATGCCTTGTGTGGTCATGATGACCTGGTTGGCTCCCCAGAGTCCTGCCTTTGGGTCGCCATGCCTCCTGCACTGTCGCCCTGCAGGACCTGTCCTCCCTAACCCCAGCCCCTCTTCTCTTCCAGAGTGAGCTCGAGCACGATGAGCTTTGTGCAGCCTGCAGGCGGGGCTCCAACCTGCTGTGCTGCAGCGCCTGCCCAGGGTCCTACCACCTTGGCTGCCTGCACCCACCCCTCAAGACGGCACCCAAGGGCGGGTGGCTGTGCCCCAAATGCCAGCAGAAGGTTGGGCATTCTGGGTGGGCCCTACTGTGGACAGGCAGGGAGGGCAGACGTGGGGTGACAGGAGGGGCTGGGCGGTCAGATGGACTTGACCCTTTGCGTGGGGCTTTGTCCTGTGAATTGTGGGGTGCTCAGCAACATCCCTGCCTCTGCTTGGGAGAGAGACCCAGAAAAATACCAGCTGTGACACAGCTTTGGGCACTAAGTGGCCCTGTGGCCACTGTCCCCTGGGCACAGTTGGGGGGCTGAATGTCAGACCTGAACAGCCGGGCACGCCACACGGGACGCAGGACCTTTCTGCCCTCTCATTTCCCCTCTGCCCCCAGGCCTTAAAGAAAGACGAGGGTGTGCCCTGGACCGGCATGCTGGCCATTGTGCACTCCTATGTCACACACAAGACCGGTGAGGCGGTCCCTCCCCTGCACCGCGGCCCTGGGGAGGCTGGGTGGGCCCAGGCAGGCGGGACCCTGGGACCAGTGCTGGGTGGAGCGTTGGCAGTGTTTCTAGTTCCCTGCTTCAGCCTGAGCCACTGGCCCTGAAGGAGGAAGGCTCTGGCTCAGTCCGGTGCCTCCCTCCTCCCCTTGTGTCCTCTTGGCCACTGCTTACCTGCCCTCTCAGTGGGGCCTGGCCCCCTCTCTCCTAGTCAAAGAAGAGGAAAAGCAGAAGCTGCTGCAGCGGGGCAGTGAGCTGCAGAGTGAGCACCAGCATCTGGAAGAGCGAGACCGGCAACTGGCCTCTGCTGTGAAGGTACGCGCAGGTGCGGACGGACGCCGCCTTAGATCCCTGTGTGGAGCAGGGCCTCTGCCTGCTCCCGAGTCCTGCAGAAGGCATGCTTGCCAGCATGGCCCAGCGAGGATTCGGCTCCGTGACACATTAGGCAGATGCCTGTCAAGTAATTAGGGACATCCTGGCTCTGGCCCTTCACAGCTCTGTGACCTTGGCAAGGCCTTGGGCTTCTGTGAAGCTCAGTCTCTTCCTGTCTAAAGGGAACAGACTCCTCTGTAGGGGGTGAGAGACAGGATGACTGAGGAGGAGGTGGTGGTAGGGATGGTGATCACGGTGTGGCAGTGGCTGTGGTGGGAGTAGTGTAATCGTGTGGCCGACGGTGGCTGCAGGAACGATCAGCACCGATGCTCGGTGGTTGATGTGATCGTGGGGGCGATGATATGGTAGTGGTGGTGTGGAGCACGATGACTGTGCTGCAGGTGAGGTGACAGTGTTTGTGGTCACGGTGGTGATGGTAGTGGCGATGGTGCAGTGAGGTCGCAGTGTTCATGCTGGCTGTGGTGACCACCGTGCTGGGCCCTGGAGAAGTCCCTTAAGTGCAGTGTCTCCTTTAGCCCTCTGCATAGCCCTAGGAAGAGCCTGATTATCCTGTGGTTCAGGAGACAGCCTCAGGGAGGCCGCTATTTGCTAGCAGCACTCAACCCCAAGCGGCGGGACTTCGGACTCTGGGCCTCGGCCCCGCTGCGTTACTGTGTTGCTGTAATGCACGCAGGATGGAAGAAGGCAGGCGAGAACAGAGAGCTGGCTGGGCAGCCCTAGGGCCTTGTGGCTGCTGCAGGAGGAGGGAGGTGGCCCGCTGTGAGGGACGTCCCTCACTGTTGCTTCTTGTAGCGAAGTCAAAGCTCCCCATGGGGCTCCCTGCCGTTTCATTCCATGTCTTGCTGCTGCCTGTTGCTTTCCGTTCTCAGCTGTGGGAGTGAAAGGCCCTGGGAGGAGGTTGGCCAGGAGCTACCCAGGACCCAGCAGGCTGAATTCTGAACCCTCTCTGAACTCTCTCCCCTTGACAGAAATGCCTGGAGCTTAAGACCAGCCTGCTGGCCCGGCAGAGGGGCACCCAGTCTTCACTGGACCGCCTCCGGGCCCTCCTGAGACTGATACAGGGCGAGCAGATGCTCCAGGTCGCCATGTCGACCACAAGCCCCACCCCACTGCTGGCCGGGCCCTGGACCAAGCCCTCAGCTGCTGCCATGCGCTCCACCCTCCAGCACCCCCAGGACCACAAGTGACCCCAGGGACCTGTCTTTGTGCCCACGGAAAGTTACTGGGACCCTGCTCGTGCAACCTCGGGGTTCTGTTGGCCTTAATTCATAAACTCTATGAATTTCAGACAAAAAACCAGATAGACCAAGGAGAGAAGGGAGAAGCCAGGCGAGCATCCTAGAGCCAAGGCCAAGGGGAAGGGGCAACCTGCACCTTCCCAATCCGGGGAACACCCGGAAGCCAGGTGGGGTGTGACTGGCACGGGTGGCCCTCATCCTTGGCTGTCCTTGGGCTGCCCAGGCTTCTGGCTCTCTCCACAGCCCCATTTCACACCTTCAGGAGCAGGCGGCTGCACTGGGGAGGTCAGGATGCTGCAGACTGGCCTTGCCTGGCCACTGCAAGTGCCACCTCGGGTGTCCTGCAGGGAAGGGGAGCCAGGCACAGTTAGCTGAGTAGTAGGGTAGTTGGGTTGGGCGTGGCAGGAGAAGAGGGTAGCAAATCTAGGTAGTCCTCCAACACCCCACCCTCGGGCCCCCCAGGGTTCCCATGCCTGCCTTCCCAGACCCCCAGCGATTATCAGTATTACTAGGTTGAGAAGCAGCTATTGAACTTGAAAGCCAGGAGGCCTGCTGGCACTGCCTTTTGGACTCACTCTGCTCCCCATCAATGTGTTTTTCTTGTGGGGTTTCTGGGCAGAATGGAGCTGCCGCCATGCAGAGGAGGCATTTGGCAGGTTTCCGTTTTGGGTTGAATCATTCAACTTACAACGGGAGCCTTTTATTTTCTGCTTCCCAAGAGCCAATAAGTATTCCAGTCCTCTCTTCTTGCCAGTACAGACATGATGCCAAAAAAATAACTTTACATTTTTGTATGGCGTTTTTAGTTGTGAGATATTTAATGTGAAGGGGGCTCCTGCTCCCTTCTCTTCATCCAGTGGTCTCTGCCCTGAGATATGAAGGGGAAATCTCCCCCTCAATGGGGGACTGGCCAGCCTGAGCAATCTGGTGGGTTTTAAAGAACTGGATTTCAGAGTGAGGGGAGAGAAGGACAGGCCGTAGCCTTGGCAGGGTCTGGCCTTCGGGGGCTCGAGCGTCCCCTCCTCTCACTGTGTCCCGATTAGCAGAGCTGAGGGTCCCACAGCCTCTCCCAGGGCTCCTGCTTCCCGGGCACCGGTTCACTACGCCCTCAGCACAACTGGATGAGTGTCCAGGAGCCCAGGGCTCCACCCCAGCATATCACATGGTGCCGAATTGCTTTGAACATGTATGTGCGTGTGTGGGTGTGCGTGCAGCCCAGCCCCAGACACGCACGCATGCACACAGATGTAGGTGCAGCACTGGGAGGCTGGCCAGAGCCCTGCAGCCTGCCACTCGGTCCCTCTTGTTATTTCCACGACTCCGGGAGAAACTGTGCTGTACGATACAGATCTATTTTAATACACTTAACACTGGGTTGAACAAGATTTTTATATTCTTTTATTGATGAACAAAGTGAGCCACGTGAGACCCACGTCTTATATATTGGTTACTCTCGATGCCAATTATGCATTACTGCGAGTCTTGCGATGTAAATGTCTTCAGGTTCCTCTTCTATTGGTTTGCTTTTCTTCTTGGATGGATTGGGTCAGATCTTTTCAAAATGTCATGGGAGGATATGGAAGGCTGGACCCGGGAGGGGTAGCTGCCGACGTGTCTTGAGACTGTTAGTTTTTTGGGACCAAGGAGGACCGTCCAGTGGATAGTGAGGCTAGAGAAAAAGTGTTTTGTCTTAAATATACCAGTGTAGTTTTCCTTCTGTACAATGCATTAAACTTGATTGATGATTTTAAAGCCCTGTGGTGTCCGTGCCTTTGGTGGGGAAGCCCCGGGGAGTGCCCAGGGGGACAGCAGGGCAGCCAGAAATTGGGGTCCTCCCCACACTTCACACCAGGGAGGGAGGGAGACAAGGGGCAGCATGCAGTGCCTCCCACCACTGGTCCCCCCAGAGGTGTCCCACAAGACTGTTAGGACTAGGGCTGGGTGGGAAAACCCCAGGACCCCCCAGGCCATGGCCGCATGGAGCCTCAGCCTGGCACCTGCCCCTTATTGTTTTGATCCTTGGCTTGGTGATGTCATCCACCTGTTCTGCGTTCCTGGCACCAGGGCACACATACACCCCTACCATCACCCTGGGGCTCCCTGGGGCTTGCTCCCCAGTCATTTGAAAGAACAGCCAGATGAGAAGTCAGACCCCCAAGTCCAAGTGCCAGGTGCTGCTGCAGGGGCCCTTGGGTCAGGGCCACTTGAGACCAGCAGCTGTGGCCAGCGGGTGATGCACTGCCCAGGAGGCAGGAGGGCAGGACAGCCTACCCAGTGGGCCACCCTGGCTATGTCCTGCCCCGCTGCACAGTAGCCCAGGGCACAGTTTTAGGGGCCCAGAGCTCATGTTGCCTCCTCTTGACCCCTGACTGCAGAGCACCCGGCTGCCACCCTGAGTGATCTTCACGGCCTCTGTCCAGGCTGCCATGGGGAGGGTGCTTCTGCTCGGGGACCAGCCAAGACCTGCTGTGCTGTGTCCGCAGTTCACTCCTGCTCTAGATCTTTGCCAGTCACCCACTCTGCTCCCCAAACTGCTCTACTCGACATCAGTCGTGACTCTGCAGGGCATCCTGGTCAAGCCCTGGACACTGAGGACCAATGACACATCGATGACAACCCACTACTGAAGAACACCTCACTCCTAGGCCCTCTGCCCCTCGACCTCTGCTCCTTGGCTTCTTCCCTTCCGCCTGCTCACCCAGCACTGGAGCCCAGGCCTGTGCACCAGGCTCTGCTCTCTCTGCCAAACTCCATCGCTGAGCTGGTGGCCCATGGCTGGCCGCAACATCACACTTGGCCTGGCTTCCACCACTTTGCCCCTGCCTGACTGTGGACCGGCCCCCTGGGAGGCACCCATGACCCCTCCCTGCCCCCCACCTGGGCACCAGTGAACCCATGAGCTCTGGGATGGGCCGTGCTCATCACCTATGCCAGCATCACCTCTCTGTCAGCCCCACCTCACCTGAGCCGCTGCTGCCCCTGCCAGCTGCCCTCCAGCCCTCTGTTTCTTCCCAGCCAGCAGCTCCTCGATGGTGACTCAGCTGCCCGTGGTCCTCCACACCTGCTCAGAAGCGCTATGCGGTATCAACAGAAGCAGCGATTTTAAATTTTTTAATGTCTTAGGGTTTAAAAGACACATTGCCATGCATCCCCCTCGCTTTGAGCACACTCATCCTGTCATTCTGGGAACTTTCTGAAGCAGCTCTGAAGCCTTTCCTGAGTGTCGATGAGGTGCGGTCATAAATTCAGTGCTGCCGCCGCTGAGTGCCATCCAGTGGAAAGGCAGGCTCAGAAAAACATGGCGTGGTGTCCTCTTCCGTCTTATTCACCGAATCTGGTGCCAGGTGACTTCTGGCTCTTCCCCAAAATCAAAATGACCATGGAAGGGAAATGTTTTGAATTGATTCCAGACCTTGAGACAGATATGACAGCGCGACTAAAGACATTCGGGAAAGAGGACTCCAGAGCTGCTGCAGAAAGTGACGAGGGTGACGGGATGAGCGTGTTCAAAGCGAGGGGGAGAGTTTTAAGGGGAATTCATGGCACTGTGATTTTTACTGTGATAGTTTTCCCTTTATTCACCATGCCTTTCAGTCACACCTGGTACAGTCTTTACTTTCCTTACCTTCTCTGTGGCCCCCGGGGCTCCAAGGCCCTGATCCTCTGGCTTCTGGTTCATTTCCTGCTCAACTACTCTGTTCTCAGTGCCTTGCTCTTACCTCCTCCCACTAGGCAAGCAGCCGCCACAGGGTCTTTGCACGTGCTGTGCCCACCGCAGGGCAGACTCTTCCCCACTCTCTTCCTGACTGGCTCCCTGTTGTTTGACTCCTTTGACTCTGGGCCTATTTGATGTTTTTGCCTGCCTGTGTCAGCAGTGTAGGCCTGTATCACCGAACACCATTTGTGTTGTGTAGATGGTTGTGAAATAAAGGAAGGAGCCTGCTGGGGCACAGAACTGGCCCTGGGGCTGCCACTGTCCTGGCTCAGCAGAGGCCCGGCAGTTTAGCTGCCAAGCACAGCCAGGCAGATGCGAGAGAAGACAAGGCCATGAGCAGCTGGCTCCACTGGGCATCTGCAGCCCCAGTTGGGCCAGGAGGCCCCAGAGCTCCTTCCTGCCCACCTCGGCTCTGTCACCACAGATGGGGCCCCGGAGTGGGCAGCTGCTGCCTCCTCGGCCTCGTGCACTGCACCCCGCAGTCCCCGGATGACTTGCGCTGGGGCAGTGGCTACCCAGGACCCCAGCTGCACCCGACCCTGCCACAGCTCAGGGCTATCCTGGTTTGGCCACACCCTGTGGGGTTTGGCCACATGGGACGATGGGGACTCAGTGCTTCCCAGGGTCTCTGCCCACTGTGACACAGGCTGAGTTTCCTGGGACCGGACAGAACGGTCCTCGCCCAGCTCTGGAGCCAGAAGTCCAAGGTCCAGGCCTGAGCAAGGCTGGTGGCTCCTGCATCTGGAAGGACGGTGGCCTGGGCCCAGTCTGAGCCTCCCCAGGGGCCGGCCACTCTGCCACCCTTGACTGGGGCAGCATTGCTCTCGGCTGCCCTCCCCACGCAGTGTGCCCTGCGTCCTGATGTCCTGTTGTGGAGGGACTCTCCCACATTAGATCCGGGCCCTCAAGGACCTCCTGCTCACTTGGTCCCCTGGGAGGGCACGTGCAGGGTTGGCATTCCAACTCCAGCATCTTCCTGGGGGACTGGGCCGGCCCTGCTGGTGTCTGAATGTGTCCCCTGCAATGGAGGGCTCCTCCCTGGTGCCTGGGATCGGTGCCCTGGACAGAGGGAGTCTGTCCCTCTTGCTTTTCCTTCTGCCACCGTGAGGACACAGCTGTCCCCTGCAGAGGAGTTGAGTTGGACCCAGAATAGCTTTCACCTGACAACCGACCTGGGGTGCCTGGGCCCTGGGCTTGGGGAACGCCCCAGTTCCTACAGCCAGTGAAGTCACAGAGACCTCAAGTGACGCCCAAGGCCACACAGCCTGGAGGACTAACCCGGGCTGTGGCTTGGTGTCCTTGCTCCTGGCCACTCACCCCCTGGGCACTGGCCACACAGGGTGCAGAGGTGGACAGCAGAGGCCACCCCACCACCTCTCCCGCATGACTCCTGACGTGGCTGCCTTGCCAGCCTGGAGCCTCAGGTGAGGCCCGAGGTTCCTGGGTGGGAGGGGCCGGGAAAGGATGGCCCACTAGCCAAGTTGTGCTAGCCATGCACTGTGTGTCTCCTATTTAGTATACCTTGGACTGGGTAATTCATAAACAGCAGAAATTCACTGTTCCTGGTTTGGAGGCTGGAAGCCTGATATCAACACCCCAGCAGATTCTGTGCCTAGAGACAGCTCTGCATTGTGTCCCCTGGGAATGGCAGGGCATAGGGGTCCAGTAGGCCCCTCCTGTCTGATGCATAGAATTAACTACTACACTCAGCATTTACCTATAAACTTGGGACAAAATTCTGCCAGTCCCATGTCCTCCAGCTACACTGATTTATGAAAGAAAGAGTCACATGCCCCTTCTGTGCTGGAATAGGGTGGGGTCTGTCCAGGAATCCCACTGGCACACTCTGTAAGGAGCACGAGGCTTAGAAGGAAAGAGCCATGCTAGGCATGGTGACATGCCATAATCCCAGCACTCTGGGAGGCTGAGGCAGGAGGATTTCAAGTTCAAGGCCTGCCGGGGCAACTTAGCCTAACCCTCTGCTAGCCCTCCCTGCCCCTCTCTATACCTTGCATGTGTTTTTAGTCCATCTTCTATTGCTCTAGCCAGCTACCTGAGGCTGAGCACTTCATGCAGAAAGGAGGTTTGTTTAGCTCACAGTTTTGGGAGACTGGAAGTCTGAGAATGGGCGGCTCCCTGGGCTCAGCCTCTGTTGAGGGCCTCCTGGCTGCACCACAAGCTGGCAGGGAGGTGTGAAGGGCGACAGCCACATGCAGAGGGGGCCAGGTGTGCGGGGTGGCCTTGTGTGACACCAACCTCCTCACAAGAACTAACCAGGTTCTTCTGAGTCCAAATCCCTGAAGACCTAACCAGTTTTCTCAGGGCCCTGCCTCTCACCATGACCACACTGGGACTGCACCTGTCAGAGCCCCTGGGGACACAGCAAGCCACGCATGGAACACTGCCTTAGGTTGCTCACTTCTGTGTCTCTTTTCGTAGATATATTCTTGTGTATGTATAGTCCTGTACCTATATATTCTAGCACATATATATATATATATAGAGAGAGAGAGAGAGAGAGAGAGAGAGAGAGAGAGAGAGAGAGAGAGTCAACAAGTTTTGTTTTGTACCGGGTATTTAACTCAGGACTTCACAGTTGCCAGGCAGGTGCTGTGCTGCTGAGCTACATCCCCGAGCCCAACGTCAATATATTTTTATTTAAGGAATTTTATATGTGGGCAGGATACAGGTTGGGGCACCGAGATGTGGCTGAGCTCGGTGCTCTCCTCTTGGAAACTGCAGCCACAGTGGAAGTTTAAGAGTTGAGCCGCTATGAGGCCCCACTCAGGAGAGACAGCTCTGGGCTCGGCTGGGAGCCTGTGGAAGCCTAGCGGCAGGGAGGGGGCCGGAGTCGTCTGTCACCATTTCCCGGGCTGGGGACACTGGAGAGCTGGTCTCCCCTTCTTCTGCCTCCAATGTGGCGGCGGGGGCGGCACCTGCAGGGACCCTGGCTGGCTCTAAGCCTCCCTTCCACCGCTGCCACCCTCACACTCCCCGGGCCTGGGCTCCAGAGGCTGCTGCAGGAGGCAGCCGTCCTGAAG